GTACTTTGGTCTGATTTTTTAACAAGTGAAAAAAAAAATAAAAATTTACTAAAACAAACTTTAATCAATATTTATTGTGTTGTCAAGGTCAACTAGTTCATGTCAATCATGTGCTACACTCAATAATACTATAGACCACACAAACAAGTTTATAAATATAATTAGGTTTCCTTTTACAGCAGTACATGTAATATTCATTAGGTGACAAACATTAGTTATAATAATAAACATAGTTTGAAATTTGTACATAGTATAGTAACACTGAATGTACACATACAACTAGCTATGAGGATATTTATCTCTAATGTAACTAGCAATAGATTTCTCTTCTATTGCATCCAGTGCTGTAGCTAATGATGACCAACTGGGGTCTCCTTTCTCTCTCACTTTATCTTCTCCTTTCAACCAGGCAGACATACACTCATAAAAGCATTTTACTGGATCTCCTCTATGTTTCTCGTCTATATCCACTAATCTAGGTTCATAATATAGTCCTAACTGTAGACCTAGTCTTTGCCATACAGCACTGGGCAAGTGTTGATTTGTTATTAATTCTTTAATGACAATATCAAGGTCTTTAATATCTAAAATGGAGATTATAAAATATTAATGCATGCTATTATCACTATAGCTACAATACCCTCCTTTCATACTTTATCCTTTTTCATCCTTTCATACTGTACCTGGCTTAGGATTTTGAACATCGTTAACTTCCTACAAAATAATACACGTATAGTTAAGCAAATAATGTATGAAAGTGCTTACCTCATCAGGTCCTCCTAATAGTGACAGGTTAATATCTGATAATGATTCATGAGGTAGAATCTTCTTCAATTCTTTATGTCCATTATCAGTCACGAGAAATGGTCTTCCTTCCTTAATTGCTAATAGTAAATCATAAACGTCATAAACTGTCCTTTCTCTTGGTGTATTCACAGGATAGGCTAGTTCTTCAGGATCAATAACTAATTCTTGAACTTTTAAACCAGGACAGGAATTTTTATAAACACTCATTACCTCTCTTATGACTTTTCTTCTCAGAGACACCATATTGTGACTGTAACCTTTCTCACAGGACATCATTACTAGCACACACTGGCTCTCATCCACAATCTCTACCAATACTTTCACACCATAGCCATCAAACCAGTGAAGACCGTTCCTCCAAAATTTGCATTTACGACTCAATTTTTCAGCTAATTCTTTGTTCCCTTTTGATAAAGAAAACTTAAAAGCAAAATGTAATGAGAGGACATGGAAGTATCGAGGAGGAAAAAAATCATGTTCTTTAGTACACTGTAGACACCAACCAAACTGGTACACTTCACTAGTCATCTCATCAGGTCTATCAGTAGACAAAAGACATGGAAAAAACAACAACCTTTCTCCTCTTCTTTGAGTCTCTGAGGCACTGTCTATGGCTATTTTCTTTTTATTTCCTGCTATTAAGTTGGTCATGTTTAGGAAAGATGGATTCAATTCTTGACAGAGTTCCATGTTCTTTAGGAAACAGATCAACATGTCAGGATCATATTTAGGGAAGAGTCTAGTCAGACCAGATACACTAACAATACCAGTATTGCTAGCAATATTGACATGTTCTTTGAATGTCTCTGGAGCGAAAAGAATCCCATCCACCTCAGTTAGTAGTATACCCTTATTCACAACAACCCATACCTTGTCTTCACTTTTAAGAACACTGATCAAACCAATTGAGTGTAATGAATGAAGAGCATCTAAGACGTCTTCTCTCTTATCTGGTATAACGTAATCATCATTGTTCTTACCAGCAGACATTATATCAGAAAGGGTCAGTATATTCTTTTTCCTTTCCACAAGTAGTCGGTACATTTCATGTTCATAAAGATTTGTTTTACTTCTTCTTGTACTACGAATGGACTCACAGGCACTAGACAACTTATTAAAAATCAAATCCACGCCACTCCCACCAAGCTTACGACAATCTAAGAAGACTCTATCACACCTTTCCCTTACAATAATCCCCTGTATTTCTTCCTTTCTCTTCCTTTCAACAGGACTACTTATCTCATCCACATGACTGACTATTATAATAACATGGCATTGATTAAGAGCTTTCTTTACTTCATTTTTCACAACTGTTAGCCACTGATGAAGCTGCTTGACTGCTTCCTTCTCCAATATATTGACTACTATCAGGAACACACCACCAGAACCATGTAACAGATTCTCAATGACAGCACTGTGACTGGAGTAGTATTCTGGATGACCAGCAAAATCATGAAGAATGATGTTACCCAGTGTCCTGTGTTGTAGTTTATAAGGAATGATACCAGCCAGGGGCGTATCTAGGAATTGAAGGAGGGGGGTGCTGAGGGCGCGCGAAGCGCGCCACGATTTTGGCCACACCCACTTTTACGGCGGTAAAACGGCCTTTTCCTGCATTTTCGACAATTACGGGTGGGGCCAAGATCATTTCAAGCATACTCAGTGGCGGATCTAGGGGGGTTCCATGGAACCCCCCCTTTGGCAGAAGAAGTTGTCTTTTTGCAGTATCTTTGGATTCTTTGCAGTCAGTTTGCATCACTTTTCCTCCATTTTATTAGTTAGATCTACACCCAAATTTTAATTAAAATTAATGAGCTACACCTACTTAAGTGAAATGGAACTCCCCTTTTAATTTTTCTGGATCCGCCAGTGATACTGCTATGTTACTGGTACTTCTGATTGCTCCTTAAAGCACTAGA